TATTTATAAATATTTTCTCTAACAAAAATATGTAGAGTATCTTTTTGTAACTACAATAATATTTTGTGAATGACCAATATGTTACTTTTCTTTATTCATTTTAAAACTTATTTATGGTAGTATTCATTCATGGAAAAAAGTATGTAATATTTTTAGTGAATAACTTTATTTAATAAGCTTTTTATTAAACGCTTTCTTATCGGTGTACAATAGTTTCTCACAAATTTTTCTTATTAACTTTTCTCTTATAACATATATACGTTTTTATTTCTAAGTAAATTATTTTCAGTAAATAGTTTGTACCTATTCGAAGGTTCAGAAAAATTTGTCAACAGCAACAATCACTGTATGGTTTTTCACAAATTTTTATTTCTGCGACAAGCTATGGTCCATTTATTAAAACATGAAAATTCTTTCTAAAAATCACTTGACATAAAATGTCTCGTACGCAGATAGGCAATTACATAAGTACGGAAGATAACACGTAAGACGAGAAGCAACCCAGTTGAAACACGTACCTCCTTTATTGCCGTAATTATTAGTGTATTTTCCCTTCTCTTTCTTCTGGTCCATTCATGACGTTTCTTCGTGGGTGGACTATATAAACGTATTTATTTCTGTTCCTCATTCTTGTGCTCCGCAAGGGTTCTTTCGTAAACATCGCGCATAATGTTCTGACGGTTTAGTCTTGTGAATCGTGCCTAAAAGTGTGAAAAAAAGAAAGTGTTCTTTTCTATTACCATTAATTTCTTTCCTTCTTTTCTTGAAGTATTTTTTATATTTCAATTTTTACACATTTTCTCATCAATTTTTACAAAGAATGCTTCGATTTCCCATTGTTTGGATAAGTGTATCCTGGTTACTAACATTGTCCATTGGTCGTGCAATTGGTCTGTACGAAACGCCACCTCACATCATCGTGTTTATGGCCGATGATTTGGTAAGATTAATGTTGTTTCTTTTAATTGAAAGTTTTGTTTAAGTTTTTCATACAAAATGTTCATTATCATTAGTATGATATAAGAAAAGTATAAAACAACTTAACGATATTTATTATGTATAATTTAGGTAAAAAGAAAAAACATAGGGCTAATTTATGCAAAGTTAGTAGTTTAGTAGTAAGGTCGAAGTTTTCTAATTTGCTAATTTCATTTCAAAAATAACCCCACTTATTTCTTAACGTCAACGTACCTTTAACCCCTTCGTGACCAGTGAGGCGTATATGTTACACTTAAGTACTAGAACAAAGATTCATCTCAATTTAGTATCTCGATAAGTAAATAAGAAATTCTTAAAAAGAAAAAATAATTATATTATAAAGCGGTTAAGAGTTGTCGAAGGCAGATAAACCTATCATATGTATGTTTATTTCGTTTTCGAATGATTTATGACTGGGAGTAGGTAGCCTGTGTGTGGTCATTGAGAGTGGTTATTGGATGTCTTAGGATTGATTGTTTGCAAGAAGCATGAATGTGTTTTTCAAGCAACCCGGTTGTTGTATTACATTAAAGTTTAGAGTTATTGTGCCCTGAGAGGATCTGACTACGAAGTGGGGAAGGTAAGGATGTCTCCTGGTGAGAGAACCGTGAGTTACAACACGGGACTTCCCGTCAAAGTACCGTCATAGGGAGAAAATCTCTAGCGGAGTAATCTATCTCTTTTTTAACCTAATAACTACCAAATCAATGGAAACAAAAATTTAGAAAATTTACAACGTAAAGGGTAACCGTTTCTGTATTACATGTGCTTGCCTACTTTGCTTAATTTGCTACGATTAATCTGTAGTACGAAAGCGTTTTAAATTTAAATTGTCCTTAGTTAAGGCAATTATCTTAGCTCGAAAATTACCTACGCCCCCGCACCTACCAAGGATGCTAGTGCTTATGACTCATCACAACCGCAAAACAAAAATCTCCCTCTTCTCCACCATGACATATTTAATTACTACTATTATACGGTCACATTTTATTACATAAATGCTTATCGTCACGTGCTTATACGTACGTGTAGGTAAAAATTCACTTTAACCCTGTCATTTCTGATGGCGTTTATAGGCGTTTTGAAAATTTATTCTCACACTATACTTTCATCTTAATTTAATCTTTAATTTTACCCTTCGTGCACACTTTCATCTTAATTGAGTGTAACCAAACAATTTTGAAACGATACTTACGGCCAAAAGAAAAGATTCTGCGGTTGTGATTGAATTTTTCTTTTTCTCTTTTTTTCTTTATTCATTTGTATACGACAAGAAACTTTTTTTTACATTCTACGTAAATTTCTGATAGGGATGGAACGACGTTGGTTTTCATGGATCGTATCAAATACCAACCCCCAACATTGACGCGCTTGGATATAATGGGATTATATTAAACAGACATTATGTACTGCCATCAAGTACACCGTCTAGAACAGCCTTTTTCACGGGACTTTACCCGATACGTATTGGTATGTGTGTATTCGAAATTATGGCGAGCACATAAAGTATTTGCATACTGTATTTTTGGTATCAAAGTACATGCTCGGTGTTTAATTTTTTATAAACAAGACAAATTTTAAAAAACTTTATTTCACGCAGTTAATCACTTTGGATCAATTACACCCGACATTTATTAGAATTTTGTCGTCGTCTGTATTGTCAAAAATTCTTCACGATTTGAATATTTCAATCGATCAACTTAGATTCTTCTACAATTTTCATTGATCCATGCAACTCTTGGATTTTTAAAACGGTACACGGAAATTTTGACGAATATAGTCATACTAAACACGTTCACTATCACCGTTCGCTATCTTACGTATTATTTTGTATCAGTTTTACATTATGCAATGCGTAACTGCACCTTTATGCACATGTGATATGCACATTTTGTATAATGTATTATTTAAAAAGACGCTCGTTTATCCAGTATGCAATACTTTACGAATATATTTGTTAAAAAGAAGATAATACATGGGGAAATTGTTGCTTTATTCAGGGATGCAAGGAGATGGAATTCGCGGTGGCGAACCGCGTGGTCTTCCGTTGCACATCAAAATTTTGCCGGAATATTTACGAGGCTTAGGATACACAACGAAATTAATTGGAAAATGGCACATGGGTTATCATACACCTCAATACACACCCTTACACAGAGGTTTCGATACATTCCTTGGTTTTTACAACAGCCATATCTCTTATTACGATTACAGATATTCGAATCAGGTAAGATGAACACCGTTACATATAGTACAATATAGATACTTTGTAGAAATTTTCAATTTACATCACATTTTTAATGAAATCAATTCTTTCCGTGTAATATTGATTTGTAATATTGAACAAATTGAAAAATTTTCAAGTTGCAATTGCAACATTTTTAAATTAACACACACATTATGTGTTTTCAGAATATGAGCGGATACGACATGCATCGCGGGGATGACCCGGCCCACGGGATCAATCGCGAGTACGCCACAGATTTGTTCACCGAAGAAGCAATTAGGATCATTGAAAATCACGAACTTCCGAGGCCTCTTTATCTTCAGATTTCTCATCTCGCGGTGCACGCTCCTTTGGAACAACCCGCGGACGAGTACAACGACAACGAGGAGATACAAATTCGCGAGCCAAATCGTCGAAAATATGCAAGTATGTAGAAAAGAAAATGTTACGAAATAATTTTAAGAATTTTTACTCGCTATTTTGCTATTTTACAGTTTCAAGCTGATTATTCTGCAAAGTGGTCGTAACGATAATTCGTACTTGTCGAGAGATATTTTTTGATAATTTTGATAGAAATTGAAAATTTTTGAAAAATTAAAAGAAACTTAGAATATAAAAATTTGATTTGTTTCAAAAGTATTCTTTTGTGTTCGTAAGTTTCGGATTATTTTGTAAATTTCTCACAATTAACGAGAATGATCTTACATTTTTTAAACATACTAGGTGTAAACAAATATTTCTCCTGATTTCTTAAATTTAACATATTTCAAATTCATTTTACAAATGAAATTTTTCAGTTCGATATATTTAAACGAAGAAAAACATTGCTTTCGAGTGCAAAGATTAAAAAAGAAAAAGATTTTTAAAACTGTTCATTAGTTCAGATACATGGATTTAAAATTTATTTTTCCCATTTTTCATTCCGAAGAATTTATTCTTTATCTTCGTTAAAAGATATATTGTTCTAATGTTTGTCAGTGTTTGCATAATTTCACGATCTCGTGATTTACTTGTGTAATTCTAATTGAACATGGTTGTTTGATGTCAGAAATGGTGTCGAGATTAGACGATTCGGTTGGACGCATAGTGCACGCGTTAGGCGATAAAGCAATGCTTAGGGACTCGCTGATCCTGTTCCTCACCGATAATGGAGCTGCGTCGATCGGTAGATACAGAAATTGGGGCTCGAACTATCCCTTGAGAGGGGTAAGATAACATTCTTAAGGTGGCTCTTTCATCCACTTAAAAATAAATTAACATAGATTATTACATGAATCGTTCATTTAGCTAATTTGTCCGCTCAATTAGCTCGAACGGAACAAGCAAGAATGATCAATGTATTTTTTGCTCGAAATAAATTCGGGTATCATTTAAATCATCATGTTTAACCAAGTGTTTGCATTGAGATTTTTCAATTGCCAGTTTATCCTCGAAGTGAGTTGCTTTTTTACGGTGGCTTTGTAATTTTGTAGAATTTTAGATCAAATGCAGACAGATTGTAAATTTTTTCAAACAGTACGCCAAGGTCTTTTGTATAGATAAGGCTTGTAATACGAATGCGATTTTCTGTTATTTGAACAAGATCTTTCAACTTTACTTTCAACTGGAATTTATTCTGTTTCAGTATAAAGTGTTCGTTATATTTTCATATTAATTTGATGAAAAAAGAGTTTTACTTCAAGGTCTAAACAAGTAGAAAAATTCTTGCTATTTGAGTGTACTGTAACATTTTACAGGATCCTACATATTTTTCTATAATATACCTGATAAATCAAATACTCGAGAGCTCACATTATTTTATATACATTTGTACACGTTACTTTCCACATACTTAGTTAGTTATTATTCTTATAGACAAAATACACTTTATACGAGGGCGGTGTGAGAGGCGTGGCAGTATTATGGTCAACAAGATTGCAAAAAGCAGCCCGCGTTTCTAATCAATTGGTGCACATATCAGATTGGTTGCCGACACTTTACTCAGCAGCCGGTGGTGATCTGAAGGATCTAGATGAGATCGATGGGATCGATCAATGGCGTGTCCTCAGCGAAGGATACGGACGTGGCAGAGACACACTTTTGCTAAATATCGATGAACTCGCGAAAACCGAGGGAGCAATATACAGCAGATTCAAATTGTTGCGAGGTAATTGCTTCAAAATTACGATTGACGAATTGTTATATGTATATATTAGTATACATTATGCAAGGTAGTACAATCTGAAAAGAGGTGAATCTACATGAAAACTTAAATCGAAAACGAAGGGGAACATTTTTTCATACGAAGCTTTATCGAAGATTTATCGAGTACACAGAGTATCTCAATGTTTGCCGATCAAACTTTGTCGGTGTATTCTACCGGTATAAATAAGAAGAAAATGTTATATGAACATTGGTCGTTTGAAGCTTCGTTAAAAAGTTACAACGGAAATACAAAGTTTGATAGGAAAAGATTGGGACACCCGGTGTGCTCCATGAATCTTCAACATCGGTTTATGCGGAAACGAAGCTTCGTATGAAGAATCGTTACTCCACATTTTCCACTTATTTTTCCTTGCAGATTCATCCCTATTTTTTTGGTATTTTTTCTTGAATGTTTCAAGGTTCTGTCGACAACGGTTACTACGACGGGTATTACGGCGATTCTGGAAGAACGTTGGAGACACCACCGTACACGGAGAACGTGTTGAAAAGTTCCGTATCTCAAAGCATCACCTATCATCTGGGTGGTCCAGTGACACAACCGAGCACAATGCTACAATTACGACAGGACGCAACGGTCCAGTGTCGTCCGAATATATCGTATTATCATAGACATGTGTTCACAACTTGCAACGTTACGGAATGTCTGTTCGATATAGTGAACGATCCATGCGAAACAAGAAACATCGCCGAGGCATATCATAGAGTAAGTAATAACAAACGTTCTTATATCATCTCAGCTGGTTAAGATGATGTTAAGGTACATATTTGCAGTGATGAAATAAATTTTTCTGCCGATACGCTTATTGTCGGATCGGTACCTATACCAACTGTGACGAATGATTTACGATCGACGTCATAATGGTCATTTATTACGCGGTACAGTCTGGTTAAAGTTTTATGTTGGGTAAATTTATGTTGGATTCAGATGCTTCAAGTTCATATCGTATCAAGAATACATCGTGACACTGTTAACCTTGCTCTAGTTTTTTAATGTAAAGAATATGCAAAGTTAAAATTCATGGGAATAACGTAACTTTTTTGTATCAACTTTTTCAGTAGATATATTAGAATAGAGATGCAATAATTATTTATTCCAAAAAGCTGTGTGATTCTAAATTCTAATTTTCGTAATAAGAGAAGAGAAGTGAAATAATGAGTTTCCAGCCTAAGACAATAATCGATATTCTAGTTTGATAAATCACTCGATAATCTAGATCGTAAATGCCAGGCATATAATCCTTGTTTGTGGTTCAAATTGGTTTAAACGTAGAACACAACTATCGCATAAAGTATTAACAAAATAATTTATTCGTTGCAATATTTGTTTGAAAAATTTAAAAGTTTAGCATCTTATTAAATTAAGGTGGAAGTGCGCGCAGGACAAAAATTAAGGATTAAATTAAGGTGAAAATGTGCCAAAAGTCGCTAATAGCGCCAAAGAAAATTTTCACAGCGCCTATAGGCGCTAAAGAAAATTTTCACAGGGTCTACAGGCGCCAAGGGCGCTACGCGAGAAAATATTCAAACAGCCTACAGGCGCCAACAGTGGTGAAAGTGTTAAAATAAATTATCTCATAATGTATCGATAATATAATTATTGAAAATATTATTCAATATCTGTGCAAGATTTAGCTATATATATATATGTGTTTGTGTAATTTGCAAAATTTCTTCTTTACAGATTGCTAGAGATTTGGATCTTTATCTAGAACATTACAGTCACATTTTAATGAAGCAATCGAGAGTATCTGTCGATTGGTTGGCCGATCCAAGGAGAAGAAATAATACGTGGGAACCGTGGATGAATTCAGGTGCTGCGGTATACGTTCCTAACACCGCAGCAGTACTTGGAAATCTAGTGTACTGCGTTCACATTTCGATCATTTTTGTTTCGATGTTGTTCAACACTTTCATTTGATCGCGTAACTTTCGTCCATGCAATGGACGTGTGGCAAGTATTATATCATTTTAGCATCGAGAAATTATTTAAAGTCGGTTCATTCAATTTTGAATGTTACGAAGAATCCTTTTAAACAACAGGGTAAACAGTTGAAACATTCCATAATAGTCAAATAATGTTATAATTCGTAAAATTATAATTTATAACAAATTGTAGAATCCCAAATTTTTAGCGAAGAAGATCAATACATTCTCTTCTTATTTCTATTACTTATATATTTACTTGTAGCCTAAAATTACAACTTTTTAGTTTACCGTGCCGTTTAGGGGGACAACTGATTTGTCATCGAAACGAAGAATTTTCCTCTGCTTTCGGAATTAATGGAAGTGACGTTGTTTGCATTGGAGAGAAAAAAAAAAAAGAAAAAAATATAAAAATGCAGTTTAAAACGCTTTGGCTTAACCGATGAATTACCGCGATAAATATAGTTAGCCAGACAGAAATTGAAATTGATGAGTTCATATCTGCTACGTAATTACCGATTTAGCCGACCTTGCTTCGTACTTCAAACGAATACGTAATTTAGGTGTACTGGAGGAGAGTCTTTTAGCTAGAAATACTCATTACCTCTTGTAACTTAAGTCGTTTAGGTGTTTCGCTTAACGTCTATTATTTACAAAGTTAGTTAAGCTAATGATACATTGGACGTATTTAGTATGACTTCGAAAACTATGTAGGAAAAGTGTAAAAAATTTCTTTTTCCTCCATCGGTATAATACTTTTTAAGACACATAGAATTTTCATTTAGCTTCTTAAATATTCTCTGAAAAATTTTTAATATATAATTTTCATTTAGTTTCTTAGATATTCTCAAATTTCTTAAATATCGCCCCAGATTCGTTGCGCTATATTTTTGAGCATGTTACAAACGATATTTTCTTTGTTCTTTTTTTAAATTCACCACGAATTATAGATGAACGAGAGAAAATCACAAACGAACCACTAAAGTTTAAAGGTATTTTGAATAAGGTATATGAAAAATTTGCAAAGACATTTATACCTTTAATCAGATATAAAAGCAATAAGATCTTTTGAAATCATGCTGGATACGTGTGGAATATTTCATTTCCTCTGTAGAAAAAGAAATAACCGAAATTATGTCCCTTTGTTGTAATGTATATACGTAAGTTTTTCTAAATATACAACTTATTTATTTACGTAATAGTCTGTTGAACAAATCCAAGTTCCAAAATGATTTTTTAAAATAAGAAAAAGACCAAATACCTATACCTTCGTTCGTATAAATAATAAAACTGTCGAGTATAAAATATTCTGCAAATTATTCGCCTATCTATTTCTTTTCGTATTAACAGGTAGTCGGTAAATTAGAATTTTTAGCAAATTTCAAACAGGAAACGTACCAAAAATCAAAATTCTTGGTTGCAGTCCGGGGTACATTTGAATTTTTAGTAAATTTCAAACAAAAACTTTCACAAACCAAAATTCTCGGTTGTAGTGCGGTAAATTAAAATTTTTAATAAATTGAAAGAACAAAATTCTTGACTATAGCCGGGAAATTTGAATTTTCACGAAAATTTTACGAAAAAAAAAAAAAAAGAACAAAATCCTTAGCAAAAACTAAGGAATCCCTGCAAACGTTGAATAGAAGATTATGATAATCACCATTATCTTATCATTCGAAAGCTACAATAATACGACCTAATCCTGCAGACTCTTTCAATCTTTCAAGCAACGGAATACCGTCTACAGAAGAAGAGTCAATCGTGATGTAATTACAGAGAGATTTACCAAAGAATTTACTATTTTCTGCTTACCACGATATCTCTTCTTATCATTAATATCTTTAACGTACTCGTCGTTTGTTCGTTAAACGATAATGTTTAACATGAACTCGCTACAACTCGTTTAAACGATCGTTTCGCGAGCTCATTGATAGATCTTCACGTTAGATCTTGCAATTCTTCGATCCAACCGTTTAGACCGTTTGTTTTTCGACAATCACGAAGATGAACGAAACCGAGATCTCCCGGTTCTCCTTGGAAACTGTACACGCGTTTTCGATAGTTACGATGCTACCTTCGGCGTTAAATGACCGTAGAAGCGTCAGTGATAATAGTCAGAGCGTAGCATCCCGGAAAATACTTTCTCCGCTGGTGGTATAAAGCCAGCAAAGTATGAGTAGCATGGTATAGTAGGGTTTTTAACGTTAAACCGTTGTTGTCGAGTGGTGGTCGTCGCGATTCTTATCGGTTGCGACACTGTTTTTTCTTCCATCACTCGTCACGTGCAATTCCCTTGTGGCAATTTTCTTTCGCGCCCGTTCGTCCTTCTTCGCGTGTGATAAATTTCGATTAGTATGGATTAATTGGAAATGAAATTCAAATTCACTGTGACACGTGTGGAAGGATTATTCGTGAAATCATTTTTTTTCTTCGTTTATCTGGAAGTTTCGTTTTGGTTACCGTTGAACGAACTTAGATGGAATTATAGTTGCGAATTGGTCTAAGTAAGAAGGTGCAAATATGTTCGCAATCTCGAAGCGTTTCGTACTTTTTCTACTGTCTGTGGTTCTTCTCTCGGGATGTTTGTACGCTGTGCTGTTGCAACAGGAAGAAGAGGGCCAGCAGCGACCAAATATTGTTGTTATCATGGCGGATGACCTCGTAAGATTGGAATTCCTTTCTTTTATTTCAGTTTCTGTAGGGGAATGTGCATATGACGGAAATGGCATCGAGATTAAAAATTAGCGAAGTGCATTTGGTTTTGAATTGATGCTCCATTGTGTCACGTGACTTGGATAGTAACTTGTATGCTCAAGTATACTTAGATTTGCTCACCGTTGTATCGTTGTATTCTACTATTGCTTCCGAGAATTTTATGTTATCGATTGTGAGAAACAGTCACTGTTGTTTTTTTTTCCTTTTTTAATTTAGCTATTGTTAATGAGATACACGAATATGTGTATAGTGACTTTTAAAATTCAGAATTCGGAATGATTTCGTTTTTGCAATGATAATTTGCAACATGAAGAATTGTGGAAATTTTCTTTTAGAAATTAAGCAATTTTTTTTAGTAAAATTATTATTTAAAAATTTCGCAATTTTTCTTGTTCAAACGATATGTTGTTTGTTTAAGTATTAAAAGATCAATTCTACATTTATGAATTTACTCTTTAATTCACATTTTGTTCCACATTTATTGCTGTCTGTTGGATTTGGTATTCGTCGTTGGTAAACATTCAAGTTCTTAAGCAGATCTAATTTCAAGATTCGCGCATTTGTATAAGTGAACGTGCAACGTTTTAACTCAGTGCACGCGTCTTCGATTCGTTCTTGAATATAAATTACGTTAGAGTAAACTTGACACAAATTATCTGATCCTTGCTCCCTTTTAATATTGTCTCGTGTTTTCATGCTACACCGTCACTTTTTTTCAGACTACAGCGTTCCGAATCGACGCGATAGTGAAATATGCATGCAATTTGTACCGTAAAAAGTATTGCGAATTAAACTTTGAAGTAATTCATTTGCAAACAAGTTTTTGCAATTTTCATTTCAAACAACCGCAAAACGTGTACATTTTGACATGGAATCTTTATTTTTGTAGATTTTACAAACAGAATGTTTTCGATTAAAACTCGACAATTTTTAAAAATTCAGATTTTTTAATTTGAGAAGTTCAGTTTTGGGAAGTTGAATGTTCAAAATTTTAAAAATTCAGATTTTTAAATTTTAGAAGTTCAGCTTTTAAAATTACAGAAGTTCACTTTGCAACAGTTCAATTTCTGTGCAATTGTGATTAAACACAAACGGTGTTAAAAATGCGCTCATCTCTGTAAAAATGATACTTGTTACGGTTTTATCATTTACAACCGATGTTCTGCCGATTATGTAAATCAACCACACCGGCTGAATTCCTCGAATTTCTGATTAAGGGTTGGAACGATGTGAGTTTTCATGGCTCTAATCAAATACCCACGCCAAATATAGACGCTCTCTGTTACTACGGCGTGATATTCCGACGACATTACGTTTTACCGATATGCACACCATCAAGGACAGCCTTTCTTACCGGGCGTTATCCCATTCGAACAGGTAGGTTACTCCTTTAATGCGATTTATGCGACCGATACTTACACTCAGACGTTTGCTTTTTTCTTATTGTTCTTTTTCTTCCTTTCGTTTTTTCTTAGTCATACACAATTGTCAGTTCAATAGTCCGCCGTGTATAAACGTGTTTCAAGGTGTATCGCACCGGCTATTATGATTAGAACTGAATGTCATCTTTTGTAGAGTATCCTACACGATTGTTAAAACAATGAAGGTGATTTATATTGTACGTCTCATTGTCAGTTAAATGTATGCTTAATTGTATCTTATGTAGACTAAACAGACAGGAGTATCGAAGAAGTCTTACATACAAAAAGTTGGATAACAATGGAGTCGAATTTTTCGCTCACTTATTGTTAGCTGAACATTGATTGATGAAGATTTATGGTTAAACATATTATTTTTCTGTTTTCTTTTTTTTTTTTTTTTTTGTGAAGTCAGGTATATGATAGATGTGTGTACAGTATCGTTCAAGAGTTTAATCGTATTCGTTGAGTACGATGTGAAATTTTGAATTTGATAAAGGGAATAATTGAAATTTCATGGAGTTGAACGAAATGAATTGAGTTATGTTGCATTTTTGCATTGGGTGATTTAAAGTTGATGAATGGTAGCGTGTTGGTACTTATGTATCTTTATTGTGTCCTCTTAGAGTTACAATTTTCCTTACCCTAACCGTATTACTGTGTTTACAATTTTCTTACTGCTACTTTGCCTGTACTCCTCTTACGTTCTACTATTATCTTGCTCTTCTCGTTCGTTATAACGCAGTCCTTACAATTTTTCTTGTTCCACGTCCTTATCATTATCTCTGTGCGCTATTGTTCAAGAGAGAGAGAGAGAGAGAGAGAGAGAGAGAGAGAGAGAGAGGAAGGAAACGGGAGGAAAAGAGAGGAGAGAGGAAGAAAAAGGGAGAAAAGGGGAAGAAAAAGAGAGGAGAGAAGAAGGGAAAGATAGAGAAAAAGAGAGAATGAGAGAAAGATAGAGTAAAGGAAAAAAGAGAGAAAAAGGAGATCCTCCTCCTTCGCACTGGTCTTTCCCCTTTCCACGTCCTCACATCTACTTCTTATTCCACTTTTCCCCCTATATGATAGAAATACTTACATGGAAGGTGAATATAGAAACTGATATCCTGAAAGTTGTAAAGTTTTTCTTTTTAATAAAGAGAAATAGTAGAGAATAATATTGTACGATTGAACTGTAACGCATTCATTTTTGTAGATTATACCGATTTGGTGGCAAAATGCATAGTTCTTCCTTAAATAGAATCTTTTTTTTCTATTGCACCTATAGAATCCTATTTTTAAAAATTTCTATATTTTCCTTTATTTATTTAACATTACAATAGGTAAATAGAACCCTCTTTTTAAAAATTTCTATATTTTCCTCTGTTTACTTAACATTGCAACAGGTATGCAAGGTTATCCTCTGAAGGCAGGTGAGCCACGTGCAATACCTCTGAACAATACACTTTTACCGGAATACTTACGAAAATTGGGATACGCCACTCACCTGGTAGGGAAATGGCACGTTGGCTATTACAGTGATTATCATACACCAGCGTATCGCGGTTTCGATACCTTCTTGGGATATTACAACGGTTACGTCACATACTTCAATCATACCATTGAACAAAATGTAAGATTTATCATAAACTTGTAGGAATACAATTTGCTGAAAATGTTTAAAATTGTATCTTATCTAAAGAAGAAACAAAATCTCTTTCGAAAATTTGTCTTCCCACGATTTTCTCTTTTATCAATCATATGCCTATGATTTCCTGAAAATTCACAAGATTCAAATTATCATTCTTACTTTATCCAATGTTTCTTCCCGCAATTTTTTATCAATCATATATCTACATACGACTTTAACTTCCTTCACCTCGAAGATTTGTGTATCTTTAAGAAAAAGAGCACACGAGTAAGAATGAAATTTTCAATAAAACAGACATTTCTTTGCAGGATCAAGTTGGAAACGACTTGCACTACGACGTTCCAAAAAATTTATCCGCCAAGTACAGTCACGAGTACATGACCGATCTGATATCGGAACGAGCCGAGGACATAATTTGGAATCACGACCGGAGGAAACCCCTTTATCTTCAATTATCCCATCTAGCTCCTCATGCTAGCGATTCGAAGGACGTGATGGAGGTTCGCGATATGAAAGAATTAAACGCGACTTTAGGTTACATAGAGGACTTCAACAGAAGAAAATTTGCGGGTACAACACATATCCTGCACTTCGTGAATTTATACTTTGCTGTAAAAACGTCACTCTAGTTTCAGGCGTAAAGTGTAAGTCTGTTTTCAGGCGTGGTCACAGCCTTGGACGAATCTGTCGGTAGAGTGGTTCAGGCGTTGAAGGAAAGGCACATGTTGGAAAATTCGATTATCGTTTTCATGTCCGACAACGGAGCGCAGACAGAGGGACTTTTGGAAAATTATGGCTCGAACTATCCTTTGCGAGGGGTAATGAATATTCTTTAGATAGTTCGTGGACGACTTGTGAACGTCTTGAAGACGTCGAATGAAAGCCTGAAGATGAGGAAAAGACGTCTGAACGACGTTCGGTGTTACAAATCGAGATGTCTTTGAAACTGTGGCTTTAGAAATGTCTTGAAGGCGTGATTTTTAGACGTAAAAATGGACCTGAAATGGATCTCTCTAAGAAGTTTTGTGTTATCTGGGTTACAATCAGGATTTTAGATTATTTCATACAATTGGGGGCTTTTTTACTTTAATTTTTATATCTTGATATTTTGTTTTAGGTGAAGTTGGTCTGAATACGATAGTAGTTTCCTTGTTAGACTTGTTTGACTAACAATAAGTTGGATCGTTATGACACTTTAGATATAATTGAAAAGTTTTGAAGAAAATTACTGTCATCAGTTAACAGTGTAAATTTAGAATGTAAAATGCCGAGTTGTTCATTTTATTGTTTAAAGTAGGCTTGTCTATTACTGCAGGAATTGTTTTAAATTACTTTGTCGTTGAAAATTTGTCGATTGTGTTTGAAATATTTAGAGGCTTCAATTGAAAAGGACCTATTTTCTTATATATATTTTGAAGCAATGTTTCAGAATTGCTGAGTAGAATATTTCGTGTCAGGAAACAAAATTGATAAACTTTTGAATTATTATCTATAAATAATTTTTTTATCATAGATATTCTAATTTTCTGCCGTAGATATTTATTCGTTTATTTTTCATAATCCATTTATCAAATTGCAGTGTCACTTGAAAATCTTCAAATTAGAAATTGCACGAATTTGCTCTGCAATTATTGTAGAATTTTTACTTTGAAACGTAATGAAAATTAAATTATTATTCGTAAAATTATCATACCTTACTCGCATCTATAGTTCTAAAAATATTAAATTTTTATTGCATATTTATCGAATCTTGAGTCAATTATTTTATTAAATTAACATCGAACGTGTATTTTCAGTTGAAATTCACACTTTTCGAGGGTGGAATTCGAGGCGCAGCATGCGCCTATTCGCCGTTAATAAAGAACACCTCCACGATCTCCGATCAAATGTTTCACATAACCGATTGGCTACCAACGTTCTATACAGCTGCTGGTGGCAATCTGGAGGATTTGGAGGAAAATCTCGACGGCTTTGATCAATGGTCCACAATAGTTTCCGCGAAAAAAACCGTTCGCGAGAGCATTTTGTTGAATATTGACGAAGTGGAAAATCTTTCTGGGGCTTTATGGGGGAAATACAAGCTGATAAATGGTTATTAATGTATAATTATATTTTAATATTATTTGTCAGGTCATCCTATAAGTTCGTGTCGAATTTTATAAATTTGATAAAAAACGTAAGCTCCTTATCATTCCACAACATTTTTTAATTTTTTGGTAAGATCATTGTGTCGTCGCTATAGCATTCCCTTGGATTTTCGTTAAAATATTTTTCGCTTTCGGCACGAACTTATGGGATCACCTAGTAATATAATTATATTTTAATATAATGTATTGTAATTGTTACATAATTCCTAAACTGATTCGCGTTTAATATTCTTTTCCGCATTACAGGAGCAAAACAGTTGTACGGTGATTACTATGGCGATAGTGGTACGAACGAATCGTACCCAAAGTACAATGTATCAAGTGTTTTGCATTCGCCGGCAGGTTCCGCGATTGCTAATATATCAAATCTTACGTTAAGTGCTAACGACATAACTCAGCTTCGAGAAGAAACAAGGGTTACTTGCAAACACCCGACATTTTATCCAAAATGTTTGAACACATGCTTGTTTGATGTCTATAGTGATCCTTGTGAAACTATCGATCTGTCTCTCAAACATCCAGATGTATGTACATACCTGTAGATTTTTGTGTCACCTGATTGAATTAAATTTATAGCAATTATAATTATATTCTTTTCATAATATGAAACTGAATAAAATACTGATAAAAATGGGAAATACTTGAAAGTTACTAAACGATACTTGAAAGTTTGAGCTAACATTTGACGAACATATTTAATAATTCAATTTTGTCTAATAAAAGTGAATACAAAATTACGTATCAAGGATGAAGAACAGCAAATCTAATGCTTCGAGTTGCTAAGTACCTACTGTGCTAAAAAGGAACGTAGCAAAAAGACTACTTGCATAAGAATACCTGCTTGCACGTTAAAAAAAAAGATTAACGTTTCTTTCTTTATTTTTCACTTAAATAGAAACGAAACTTTCTCTATTATTCATTTTACATACACCTACACTAAATGATTTAAAAGTCATTCTTACTAATAAACAATTCTTTTAATTGCAGATTGTCAGTCGAATGACCAGTTACATCGCAGGATATAAGAAAGTTTTAATGTCTCAAACGAACATGATCGTGGACCCGAATTCCTATCCTGAGCATTTCAACGGAACGTGGATGCCTTGGTTAAAATTACCCGAAGAACTAGTTCACGTTCTCAGTGGTTGACGATCACATGAAAAAACAAAAAAAAACAAAAAAGGTTGAACAATACTAATTTCGTTATTCTATCTATGTTTTAATTTGATTAATTTATCAAACTTGTTCTTTCGCTTATATATTATTTTTAACTTGCCTTTTAAATTGTTTCTAACGGAACAACTGTTTTATCATTTTATCGACAATTACTCGATTCTTTTATTCTTGGCATTTAAATTATTTTTACTAGAATAACCGTTTTATTATTTTATCGACAACTATTCGATGGTTTTATTTTTGGACTTTAAATTATATTTCGAGATGAACAATTTTTCGTTACAATACACGAATTAACGATTCAAAATTTTTACCACCCAAATTTTTTCGCATTTTCCGTTGGAAATTTCACTTCCATCGTGGACTCGAGAAACGAGCGGTGACGTAAGGGTGGCAAAAAGTTTATCGTTAGGGGAGTAACTCCTTTTTTTCAGCGACGTTATTATATACAGATTATGCAGATGAGACGCCGTCGTCGCGGAATACGTTGATATCAATTTAATTGCACGGTATCAGATTAATTAATCTATGTCCGTGGTGGGATATGCAACTTCCGATTTGCGCAATTATAATTTCGTGGGTAAACAAAAATATTGTAACGAACTTTGCGAAAGTATCGCTAATTTCTGTAGGTAAATTATTTATTCGACGATACCTTGGAATTTTTGCAAATTAATAAACAGCGTAGTGAAATTTTTCTAAGGATTATCAGTTTCTACCTTTAAATTAATCTTTGGTTCCATGTAGGAAGAGTGGTATCGGTGGTACACGTTATTTTTTCACCTAAAAAATTGAGAGTTGTCTTACATTTAATGATAAATTTAATCTAAAATTTCGTTAAAAAAAAAATAGTCTCTTTGGAAGTACCATCCTCTTCGATATTTCAATAATAAAAAGTATGTCGTCACGACGTCAGTGTTTAATGATAAATATTTCATAAAGTGTCCAGAAAGAAGTTAGTAACTCCAGGAATTGTTTTTTTTTAAGAGACCAATTAAATTACCATAGATCTCGTCGATGTTAATTTCAAATCTATCAGCAATTAGTAGCAGATTGGATATTAGTGTAAACAGGCAAATGATCCCAAATTTTTAACAGATAGTGTAGTCATTTTTCTGTCAGTAGCACTTGTACAATTATCGTTACAAGTTTTTAATTTATATAGATGCATTTTAACCCTAATGCGGTCTTCGGGTCTTTTTCGACCCATCGCCTTCTTATTTTTTTAGTAACTTTTGCTGCTGTTAAGTGTATGTTCCCTTAACGTTGTATTAAATGTTTATTAATTAAGTTCATACGACGTTCTGGTAATAAAAATTGTTACACATAAGGGCTTTTTTGACCTAAGTGTACGCTCGAGTGGAAGAAAAAAAAAATACTATAAACTAAATAAACTAAAAAATGCTAAAGAAACTAAATAACGCTAAATAAATTAAATAAACAAAATAAGCTAAATAAAAACACTACAGCACCTACCAAAAACGTGTCACAAAAGGTCCGCAAAGATTATTTTCGACAAGTACCTACGAAAATCTTAGTGGATACACAAATGACAGGAACGCAAGATTGAAGAAGAAGAAGAAGAAGAAAATCGCGAAGTCTCGCGAAGTTTGAATTTTCACCCCCTTTCTTTCTCTCTTTCTTTACGTGGTGGTTGGCGTTACGGCTCATTTAGCAATTTGCTTATTTGCTAGGAAAGTCTGTGGAGCGGTATACATGCGTTGGCTTTGTGCGTAATCGCGAAGGGGGTTGTCACGGGTAAAAGGAGGCCGTGGAATGAGAGGTAACTTTTGCGATCGCGCGGAGGGTTTGAGGTTTAAGTCGCTTTTAATAGCCAAGCAGCTGTCGCCGGATCTGTTTGCCCCCTTTTTATGGTAGACGTCTTCGACGAATAATGGCAGGAAATAATCTGGAACGAAAGAAGCGGCCATCCTTTGCAGTCCTCCGCCAATAAACCGCTTTTAACCCGCTCTCTCTCTCTCTCTCTCTTCTTCTCTTCTCTGTTCTTTGGACGCCCCCGCTCGCGATTCAGGCGTCATTTTAACCACGCCAAGTGAAAGTACCCACGCAATTAACGTGATGATTCATATGTTACATTGTCCTGGATCATCCTGATAATCTCTAAACTGGGGAATATTTTTGCCGTCTCGCAGTCGTCGTTTCACTCCGTTTTCTAGGATCGAGGAAAAGTGTACACGTGGTCCACTTAGGTTGACACGGGTGAAATGTTGCACTTTGATTTTACTTCGTTTGTGAGTTTCTTGGAGCTTTGGGCGAGGAATGAAATCTTGGAAAATTTACGTATTCTTGGATTTACCAATTTTTTTTTTTTATGCAATTTTGTGTAATGCAAATGTATAAATAAATTTCAACGTGTATGGTTGTTATTGTATCTGCTTTTTGTAGTATTTCGTTTCACTTAATAGTGGCATTTTTACGTTAATTATTTTATGTTGAAGGACGAAATAATTTTGTCGTTGCGATTCGGTGAAAGGTTCTGAAGATCGAAGGATCTTTAAGTGTAGTCTTTATAGATTTTTCAATTCAAAAGTCCAATTCAAAGGTATACGAAATTTTTTTTTAAATTTGCCTATTTACATTATAGAGTAAGATACAAGATTTCGAAAAATCAAATTTTCATTCCGTGAGAAAGAAAATAATTACGAAATTTATACTTCGCCTTTTCTGATATGTGTAACATTTTTGAACGTGGATCGTAAATGATCCATTTAAAAATTATCAGAAATTTTTGAAAAGTTTGAATTTTTAGTTTGCAGAGTAAAATATGAAATCTTCAAAAATTAAATCTTATTTGCATTAAAAAAAGGAGATAAATTATTAAACACTGAAGTAGCAATTATAGCAATATTTACAACAATACGAATTTTATAAATGTAAAAGATTAACAGAAATTTACTTGATAATTAATATATGGTATGCTTTTAATTGAAATTAATACACCAGCAAAAATGCATATGCCATTATGCACTTTGAAACAAAAAGGTATTGAACGATACGATTTCGAAGTAAAGTTTTGCATGAACATTCCGCGTGCGTTTAATCTCTTCAAGTAATCAACAAATTGAATGGTCATTAGCATTGATTGCCTCTTTTATTAATTAACATTAACGCTTTTGTAACGATTTATACGCCATTATGGATCCTCGAACAACGCAAACTACCAACATTTTGGATAGCAGTGTCTTGCATTCACGTATCGTATAAATTCGATCCATTGACATAATTAAAGAATAAAATAGCCATCGATTCTCCATTATGTATCTCAGTAATACGACAGTTTAACTGCCATATTATTTCTATAATTATCTTTCATTTTAATAAATGTCTATTCTCTTCTGCTTTGCAAATTTTCGCAATAATTTTTAATTTCCATAAATTTCTATTCTTTAGAATTACCATTTCTACAAATTTCCGCGTTAATTTTCAAACATTATCCTAAAATTAGTCCAAATTTCACGTAATCACTCCAATAGAAAATATTTATTTTTATTTTATTTCGACAATAATTCTTACACATTTCGATAAATTCCTATTTTACTACCCAAAAATTTCTATTCTTCAGAATTATCATTTCTATGCCCCACAAGATTTCCGCGTTAATTTTCAAACCCTGTGAAATCACTGGAACAAAAGGAATCACACACTTCCAAGGACGCATAAATCGTACTTTTCATAATGCGCGATATTTTTACCACCACAACACTGTTTCTCAGCGGACTACGTCTGGTATATTAGTGCACAGACGCGAGGTAAACCCTTTGGCTTGGTAAAAAGAGAGCGGATAAGTCCGAGCCGAACTTAACGACGTAATGAACGTCTGACAGAGGTTTATTTATCGACGATGGTACAGCAAGAAGAGACCAAAGGAACAAAGACCAGGAGGAGAACAGACCTGTTCGTTACTTCGAATCAGATCGTTGCAGTTTTCTGCGTGAACGATCGGAACGCAAGCAACAAAAGGAAAAAGTTACACTTCCACTTTCACCGTGGACATCGTACCGAAAATATCGAAATCCGCCAAAAAAAAAAAAAAAAAAGAAAAAGAAGAAGAAGAAGAAAACGAAAAAGGTATCTGGTTAATTTCGAGATAAAATAACGAACTGAACTGGGTGTTAGAAAATGAACCGGCTCTTTAGACCTTTCGATATAGATAATTTCTGTGTGATATTTCTAATGGTAAGTTGGAGTTCTCGAATAATATACGATCCCGCTTTCTCCTCCAAACTAATTGGCAAATCGTACGCATAATTGGTTCGACACTTTGTAACCGTTTGCTATAATTCTTGGGTTATTCTACACGTTCACGGTGTTTGGTAAACATGTTATGAAGAAAAATATGCTTATTGAAATTAAGTGAATTTTTATAAGAGGAGGAACATTTGATATTTCATAACTGGTTTCGATGTTGATAACAGGATGGAAAATTTGCCTTATTAGCTATTAAAATGAAAATCGTGAACTACTTGGGCTTTTTATCGCGGTAAATGTAAAGTTTGAGACGTAAACTGTTCGAGAAGTGGAATTACACTTATCGTTAGTTATGTGATTTCTATTGCGAGTAATACAACTTTTTACAACAGTCACGTAGTTTAGTACAATGTGTAAATTCATGTGCAAAATATTAGTTATGGAATAATCGTGAAATTTTTGGGTAAGGTTCGTTGTGATCAGTCAAAAATTAGATAATTTTATCTTTCTTAGATTAGTAACTGTTAAAGTGATATTTCGAGTTTGCAGGACACTGAAGAATCAGGAAAGAAGAAAATATGAAAATTGGTAGGAGACAAATTTATATTAAATTGCCAGTAACTGTCGTCGTTAATATCGATTATTGTGGTATCGTGATTTGTACTGTAATTAGCAGATGATAATTTTTGGGCAAAATGATTTACCTTGGAAATTTTCATTTTATTTATCGTACTATCGGTTGATACTGATTGCAAATCACGTTTCAACCAGATTTTTTTAGAAAATTCAGAATAAATAAATTTAGAAAATTTGTATCACTCTTTTCTTATCTACTACATTTCCGTGATTTTTCAGAAGATACCGATTTATTTACAGAAAATTTGCATCTTCAACATGCAAAATATTTTGAACATGCTACAATAGTTACTCAACTATTCCAAACATTAACCATATGTACAAATTCACAAGCAAGCTATAAACAATCAAAGTCACGATACTACACTTCCAAATACAACTTCCTCACTCTTTCTCTATACGCTACATCTCATCAATTTCTAAAAACAATTTTTCCCAAGGTATCAATTTATCTACAAAACATTTGCAATTACAAAATCTACGTTTCTTCTCCACTAACAATTATCTCAACTCTCCCAAAAAATCTACTTCACAAACACTAACAACATTTCCAAACTCGTAACCAAACTACATTTCCCAAAGCGAGAAACTAACATTACACCTTCCCCATTCTCCCACCACCGACAAACATACCGACGAGAAAAAAAAAAGAACCATATACATAGAAGCATATCGGTGGAAGGAAAATCACTTTCCTTCGCACGCACTCGAGGTGGATCAATGGACACGTTTGGATCCTCCCTCGGCTCGCAACTCCCGTTCACCATCTCCCGAGCAGCGTACGATCTTTGACCAGTTTCTCGCCTCCTCCCTTGCTCGTTTGCTCGCGTTCACACTCCGATCGCCATCCCTGTGGCCGGTTCCTCGTCCAACGAAAAACGAGTAGGTGAAGTAGGAGGAAATAGAGTAGTAGTAGGAGGATTCCACCTCCACGACGACCGGCAAATCCTGCGGGACGGCTCGACGGACACCTGTAACCACGCAGACTCCCTGCAGCACGGGACTGTGCGAAGGAACTTCCCCGATAGGGAACGGTATCGGTCGCAGATCATTCAGGATAGGCGCGCGTTGACGTGTTCTGTTGTCACGATTGATCGTCATCCTCCATCCGATCAAATCGGCCAAGTGACAGTGGATATATATATATAACGCATTTTTACATGATACAACATCGTACAACAAACCACCTCTTAGCGCAAAGTGTAGAAAGAAAGAAAAAACTGGAGAATTTTTCACCGATCAGATCTCACCGTTGGAAGAATCGGCAACGATAATTACGATGATCTACGGTGGTTACAGTAGCCGACGATCATGATAAATCTCAGAGATTTCTTCGGCGTGTGTGTGACTTCTAAACGGCTGCTTTATCATCCTGCCGACAACTATAATTAACGAAGAGCCGAAGTGTCTTTCGATCGAGAATTTATTTCTTCCTCCGTGACGCGTTGATTACGCGGTGTCTCTCCTTCGAGCAAGTTTTGAAATCGGTTGGTTTTCCTTTTCTTTCTTCTTTCATTCCGTTTGATTGGGGTTTTTTTTTACCACCACGTGGAAAGTAGCTGGTATTGAAATTTGTTTCGAATCACACGGAGTGGAAGATTCGAGGAATACTCTCTCGTTCGAGGTGATCGAGAATGGAGGCGTCGGAGTTTGTTGGATTGTACGTGAAACGATCTACCGATCACAGGGAGAAGCACAGTGGTCCATGAGAGATAAGGGATATCGCGAGTGTTGGAATTTTATTGACATTGAAGTATTTCGTGTTGACAGATGGTTCTTGTCTGTTTGTCACGAGAAAGAATACCGATCTACTAGAATGTAAAGGGAGCGAAGATGGTGGTAACGAAGAGAAGCGGTGCTAAAGCTTGGCTCCTCTTCTTCCTATTGCTGATCCAAGGTGGCAAGTGCATCAAGTGGCTGTAAGTACCATAACTATGTGATTTTCTGTGGTCGTTACCTGTTATCAGATTCAAACTTGATCCTACGAAACTTATGCACACATAAGTATCTTTCTAATTTGTTTCAACAGTATTTTATACTGTATAATTATTGGAACAAATATTTTTCTTATTTTCATGGAAAAATCTTGTGCTGAAACTTAATTTTTAATGATGTGATTACAGAAAATGATTTAAATCGATATAAAAATCGACGAAATCATTTACTAGATTGATTTATCAGATTGTACAAAATTTAGTATTTGTATTTTTATTTGCTTCGAGGTATTTTATACGAGGATAATTATTGCAAAAAATATGTTTCTTATTTTCATGGAAAAATTCTGCTGAGACTTGCCGTTTAATTACAGAAATGATTAAAATTGTCGTAAATTTGATGAAATCATTTTACAGCGATAACTATATACTTTCCTATGTCATTACCTGTTATCAGATTGAAACTTGATCGCACAAAACTTGTGCACACATAAATGTACGGTTACAGATATTTATATTTTTATTCGTTTAAGTGTAATTTATACGTCGATAATTATTGCGTAAAACATTTCTCAGGAGAAAATTCTGGTGAAACTTACCGTTTAACAATATGTAACAGTTACGGGAGGTGATTTTTCAATTCGATTTCCAAGTTACTTATTTTGAATTGTAAATAATGCGTTGAAACGGTTGAACAGTTAACTCGCACTTGTACTTCTCCATCGTTTCATTGAATAGAAATACGCGTGTAGAGGAATGTAAACGGACCACTAAAAGTTCCGGGCTTCTGTCCAAGCACCATGAATCCTTCGGTAACAAGCATCTTTGGTGTTCTCACATTCATTCACGATGGCTCAGGAGGAGCTTGAAGATTAATGTAGGTCCGTTAATGAGAAACAAATAGGTTACCAGCCGAGAAGGATACGGTATACGTGTGCGTGGAGTAGAATAGGAACGAAACAAGGATCATTTTACTCTATTATAAAGATTTTTTTTTTCTTGGTTGTTGTGTTGCCTGCGCGCCGGGCCCGAGGGAACAATAAGTCTCAACGAGGATTTATTATACGTTCGAAGATTTCTCGTGCACGATGAGTCGAATTTAGGTGTATTAGAGAATCCCTTCTTTCACAACTGGCTGCTACGCGTGAATTGGTATGGAAATATTCGTCGTTTCGAGATGTAAAGAAATTTCACTTGGATTGAAATTCTATTTCAATTGTCATTTGAATATCGAATTTATGTTTATCGCAGTATTGATCCTTTCTTAATCGTGTATTTACAAAAGAAATAGTACGATACGGACGTGAATTTTATGGAGGATTGAAAAGGAATTTGATCGTTGGATGAGCCAAATTTCGTTTCCTTGAAACGTTTCCGTGTGTGTGACTTCTAAACGGCTGCTTTATCATCCTGCCGACAACTATAATTAACGAAGAGTCGAAGTGTCTTTCGATCGAGAATTTATTTCTTCCTCCGTGACGCGTTGATTACGCGGTGTCTCTCCTTCGAGCAAGTTTTGAAATCGGTTGGTTTTCCTTTTCTTTCTTCTTTCATTCCGTTTGATTGGGGTTTTTTTTTACCACCACGTGGAAAGTAGCTGGTATTGAAATTTATTTCGAATCACACGGAGTGGAAGATTCGAGGAATACTCTCTCGTTCGAGGTGATCGAGAATGGAGGCGTCGGAGTTTGTTGGATTGTACGTGAAACGATCTACCGATCACAGGGAGAAGCACAGTGGTCCATGAGAGATAAGGGATATCGCGAGTGTTGGAATTTTATTGACATTGAAGTATTTCGTGTTGACAGATGGTTCTTGTCTGTTTGTCACGAGAAAGAATACCGATCTACTAGAATGTAAAGGGAGCGAAGATGGTGGTAACGAAGAGAAGCGGTGCTAAAGCTTGGCTCCTCTTCTTCCTATTGCTGATCCAAGGTGGCAAGTGCATCAAGTGGCTGTAAGTACCATAACTATGTGATTTTCTGTGGTCGTTACCTGTTATCAGATTCAAACTTGATCCTACGAAACTTATGCACACATAAGTATCTTTCTAATTTGTTTCAACAGTATTTTATACTGTATAATTATTGGAACAAATATTTTTCTTATTTTCATGGAAAAATCTTGTGCTGAAACTTAATTTTTAATGATGTGATTACAGAAAATGATTTAAATCGATATAAAAATCGACGAAATCATTTACTAGATTGATTTATCAGATTGTACAAAATTTAGTATTTGTATTTTTATTTGCTTCGAGGTATTTTATACGAGGATAATTATTGCAAAAAATATGTTTCTTATTTTCATGGAAAAATTCTGCTGAGACTTGCCGTTTAATTACAGAAATGATTAAAATTGTCGTAAATTTGATGAAATCATTTTACAGCGATAACTATATACTTTCCTATGTCATTACCTGTTATCAGATTGAAACTTGATCGCACAAAACTTGTGCACACATAAATGTACGGTTACAGATATTTATATTTTTATTCGTTTAAGTGTAATTTATACGTCGATAATTATTGCGTAAAACATTTCTCAGGAGAAAATTCTGGTGAAACTTACCGTTTAACAATATGTAACAGTTACGGGAGGTGATTTTTCAATTCGATTTCCAAGTTACTTATTTTGAATTGTAAATAATGCGTTGAAACGGTTGAACAGTTAACTCGCACTTGTACTTCTCCATCGTTTCATTGAATAGAAATACGCGTGTAGAGGAATGTAAACGGACCACTAAAAGTTCCGGGCTTCTGTCCAAGCACCATGAATCCTTCGGTAACAAGCATCTTTGGTGTTCTCACATTCATTCACGATGGCTCAGGAGGAGCTTGAAGATTAATGTAGGTCCGTTAATGAGAAACAAATAGGTTACCAGCCGAGAAGGATACGGTATACGTGTGCGTGGAGTAGAATAGGAACGAAACAAGGATCATTTTACTCTATTATAAAGATTTTTTTTTTCTTGGTTGTTGTGTTGCCTGCGCGCCGGGCCCGAGGGAACAATAAGTCTCAACGAGGATTTATTATACGTTCGAAGATTTCTCGTGCACGATGAGTCGAATTTAGGTGTATTAGAGAATCCCTTCTTTCACAACTGGCTGCTACGCGTGAATTGGTATGGAAATATTCGTCGTTTCGAGATGTAAAGAAATTTCACTTGGATTGAAATTCTATTTCAATTGTCATTTGAATATCGAATTTATGTTTATCGCAGTATTGATCCTTTCTTAATCGTGTATTTACAAAAGAAATAGTACGATACGGACGTGAATTTTATGGAGGATTGAAAAGGAATTTGATCGTTGGATGAGCCAAATTTCGTTTCCTTGAAACGTTTCTAATTTTTCAAAATTGTCTTTCCAATATCGAATTTCAGTTTATTAAAGTACTGCTGCTTTTTCACTCACAAATTTACCCAAAAATACCACGTGACGAAATTTCACGAAGGATTAAAAAAAAATTTTCATCGTTTGATGAGCCAAATTTCATTTCCATGAAACGTTTTTAATTTTTCAAAATTGTCTTTCCAATATCGAATTTCAGTTTATTAAAGTACTGCTGCTTTTTCACTCACAAATTTACCCAAAAATACCACGTGACGAAATTTCACGAAGGATTAAAAAAAAATTTTCATCGTTCGATGAGCCAAATTTCATTTCCATGAAACGTTTCGCTCTCGCACACACACTCACACGCGTATCGATTCCCACCGTCCACATCTTTTTCAATTAGAAAATCGCCGCGGCATCGTGAGAGCAGGTCTGAAATTCACGCAACGCTAGATTGATACCGGAGAAGGATTAAATTTCATTTCAACTATCGTCTAATTTCCCAAACTTCCACGGGATGGGGGGGACGTTCCGCGCGATTAATCCTTCCAGGCAGCTTCGCGTAGCCCTTCTCCAGGTTCGCCGATTCCAGGCCTTAATTTCCATTCTCGGTATCAATTAATCCACGCCTTACCCATCCACGTTCGTCCTTCACCCCTTCTCCCACCTCGATTCTTACGAATCACATTGTCCGTTCTTCTTCCTTCGCAAACTACTACGATCATCGCATTGACCGTTCCTCCGAGCCGAGCAACCATGAAGATATCCCATTATCCTTCGCACACTCTACACGTTACATCGTCGTTGCTCGCGAGATCTCCCTTATTTCACGTAGCTGCACGCCGTGACGTTAATTGTCCCGTGATTCGAGGCGAATTTCGCCGTGCTACGTCCAAGGGAGCATGGCGAGAGGGTGCTGGAAAAGCGGAAACAGAAAGAGAGAGAGAAAGAGCGGGGCCGCTCGGCGTCGGATGATGAATGGAGGAGTGATGGTGGTTTCGCGTGCAAAACCAAAATACGAGTGGAATGAGAAGAAAAGCACGGGAGGAAGACAGCACACCAGGCTGGAACAGGGTGGAAGATTAGGGGTTGCCCGCGATTCGTGATTTATAAACGCCCTTTCCAAGAAGTCTCTCCTCAGACGCTCTCCCCTCCCCTTCGCCCCTTCAAGACGCTACGCTACTTCTCCCCACTCCCTCCCCACTCCTCCTCCACGGTTCCCCCACTCTCGCGCTCTTTGAACGTTACTCCACGCACCCTATACAACATCCTCCTCCGGTCTCTCCCTTCTCTCTCTTCTTTTCTTTTGTTTATAATCATCGACACCGATCGTTGCAAAGGTGGGAGAGGGGTTTTTAATCGAAGGATGATCTAGGAAGTCGCGAACGAGACTCGTTTTTGTCGAGTCGCTACACCGGACCGGAACTTGTACATCGATCCTATCACGTTCAGGCCTACGGAAGATGCGTGCTCTTGTTGGGCCAATCTTTCCTCGGGAATTTATGAGGCGAGCGTTAATTGTTACCCGTACAGGGGGGATTTCCCCTTTTTCTTAGGGAAATATATAGTTCGCAGCCCGGCTGAGAAAAGTTCTTACGTTCATTTTCGGAGGATAAATCTCGAGTTTGGTGAGATTGAAAATGTGTTTTATTGAATTAAGTGAGTGTTTTGTCGTTTTAATGTAGTCTTGTGGGGAAATTGAAATTGAACGAAGAATGTATAGGTTTTTCACGAAATTTCTTTTTTGGCACGTTAGTAGAATTCGTACGAAGAAACTTAAATTTTAGTAGTACCAAATGATTCAATATTTGATCGGCAGATTTTTCAGAATATTTTTAGTAAATCTCTGAAAAACGCATTTTGAATCGTTTTGAAATTGCTTTCGGAGTAACTAAGAATAAAACAAATTTTGCGAACATTTAAACAACATTTACATATTTTTGAGTTGACATCTCGAAAACGAAAGCAACAATGTGGCGAGCAGTTCGAAGGAGAAGATTCTCGTTAATCATTGGATCGAAGGATCAGAGATGATTTTTCTGCTCTCGAACCGTCTATCCCGTTCTTTCAACGCAATCTCCCGGCTCTTCGAAAGAGACACGGACATGAGGCTTGTTCCGAATGAGGATTAACGATCGATTTGTAATAATTTGCATGAGGATCCTGATTAATGTCAGTCCGGTACGAGATCGCGTGGATGTTGCTATTTATAAAATCTACATGTAACGAAGTGTGCTATACTTATCGTGGATTCGTAGCTCGTAAATCATCTGTTGCATGATCGTTGCGCGAATATAGTAGATCGTAGGAGGTATTATCGCGTAATTA